CGCTATATACGGGGAGTTCTCTAAACTAAGGTTCCCTTCTGGGAAGCAAACGAAAGAGAGCGCCTTACTTCTAGAGGGGATGCAGAAAGGAAACCCTAAACCCTAAACCCTAAACCCTAACCCTAAACCCCATAAACCATAAACCCTAAACCCTAAACCCTAAACCCGAAACCCTAAACCCTAAACCCTAAAACCCTAAGAAAGAGAAGTACTCATACACCCCATGAGGGACCGCAGCCCCAAGAGCAAAACCCGAGTTGTTAAGTCCGCAACTGTTATTTTTTTCAGGATTCGCTTGGCGCTGGCAGAAGACCTTGTAAGGCTCTTGGTTGCACTTAAGAGGGTAGCTAAAAATTATTTTTTTAGCTGCCTTTATTAAGAAACCCAGTAAACCCAAAAAGGCTGAAGATGTAAAGTTATAGTAAAGCACCACAAAGGGCTTATGGGTTTAGGGGTTGCGCATGGTCTAGGGTGTAGGCTTTTCGGTCCTTTCTGATTCTGTTTTGGGATGGTTCAGACCTTGTTAGGGTCTGGGGCATTCACTTCTGAAAGACACACACACACATACAACAACCAACTCAACCCTAAGTTCCAACCCCCAAAAAACCCCAGTCCCGAAACCCTGAAACCTAAACTCTAAGAATAAGTCAACATACCCCAAGCCCATACCCCTTAACCTATAAAAAAGGAGAATATCAGGAAGGATTCTACCTATGCCCAAGGGGGTATATTGAATATTTCTTAGATAAACCCTAAACACACAAACCCCCCCGATTCTAATCCCCATTAAGTACTGTTCCTCCTATAAGGGTGAACATCCCAACACTAAACCCCAAACCCTAAACCCTGTAAACCCTAAACCCCTACAGTAAACCCCAAACCCTAAACCCTAAACTCTTAACTCCAAACCCCTACAGTAAACCCCAAACCCCAAAACCTAAACAAAGATAACCCTTTGTGGCGCTCTGAGGAGGCATCCCACATGGCGCTCGTCCAGTCCCATACTCGCCACCTCTCGTTGCTCAGTGTCTGAGTTCAGGGTTTAGGGTTTAGGGTTTCTGGTTCAGCGGCTTTATTCAAATAAGTGGTTCTCTAACCTTAGGGCCCCTTTCCCCAAAAGGGTCCGTGTCTCTCTATAGCCTGTACTTGAGCCCTAAAGCTGCTATATAGGAACCCCCTTTAAGGCCCCCAAGTTATATGCTATACAGGAAAACGCACGAAGGGAAAAGATAACAACATCCGTAGGGCCTCCTTGGAGGTTCATGGTACTCATAACCCAATTATAACTCCACTGTTAACGCACTCGCATGCCATTTTTATGTGCCTCAATATGGTTATCATTGGGCTATAAGTACAGTTCGAAAAAGGATATTCAGTACCATGAACCTCCAAGGCCTAAACCCTAAACCCTAAACCCTAAACCCTAAACCCTAAACCCTAAACCCTAAACCCTAAACCCTAAACCCTAAACCCTAAACCCTAAACCCTAAACCCTACCCTAAACCCTAAACCCTGGAAGAAGGTCTAGCTGCCTTGACAATTCGCGCGTCGAGCTGCCCGGCAATCATCTGCTGGAGAAGCAGAGACTGGTCCTGCAATTCTAGGTTCATGGGTTCCTCCACTACCCCCCGCCATAGTACCCCCCCTAGGTTGGTTCCTCCCATAATTAAGGCTATTTAGGGATACTTATGGGGTAGTATAGAGGGGGGGTGTAGGGGAACCCATGAAAGGTGGCTTGCTGTCGTGGTTTTTGCCCAACCCTAAACCCTAAACCCTACACACCCTTGGTGGCCTTGTTCTGTTTGGGGGGCATAGGGGTTTAGGGTCTAGGGTTTAGGTTTAGGGCTGCTTCCTGCTCGGAACCCTAAACAAACTTCAGGTGCATGCCGGCTGTTCCGCACCCGAGCCTGAAGCCCTGTACCTAAACTTAATCCAACATACCCCCAAACCGTTACCCCTTAGCCTTCAGAAGGAGAAGGATTGTACCATACCCCTTGGGATGTCCCCCCCCCCCCTTTTTTCTAACAGTCCTCAATAGGGACCACAGTAAGGGGGTACTATCATCTCTATTAAGGACTGTTCGTATAGAGGGGGAACATCCCAACATACCCCTTAACTTCTATCTCTGGGTATGCCCAAGGGGTATGCTCAGTAATTCTTAGACTGTGCCATGCAGGGTTCAGGATTTAATTTAGGGTTTAGGGTTTAGGGTTTAGGGTTTAGGGTTTAGGGTTTAGGGCTGAGGGTTTAGGGTTTAGGGTCCTGCCGCCAGAGGAAAGCCAGCACTTTCAGGTTCAGTCGGCTGCACACGTGCTCCACCTCAGGGGTTCCCTAACCATGAACCCTAGTTTTGGATCGACTTTCAGGGGTTTAGGGTTTAGGCTTTAGGCTTTAGGGTTTAGGGTTTAGGGTTTAGGGCCGACATTCAGTCTAAGAGGTTGGAACAAGTATGGCCCTTGTCCCTTGTTGATAGGGATCCGGAGTATGGGCCCTTACTATGTGGGGTTAAGGGGTTTTGGGTTTTGGGGTTTCGGGGTTCTGGAATTTCGGGGGTTTTGGGGTTTACCCTAAACCCTAAACCCTAAACCCTAAACCCTAAACCCTAAACATTTGGGGTTGTGGGGTTTTGGGGTTCTGGGTTGCTGGGCAGACAAGGCTTGTTGCCGAGGCCCCTGCGCGACAACGCTGGTAGTCACCTTGGCTGAGAGGCATTCCAAGCTGCCCGGGAGTTCAGGGTTTAGGGTTTAGGGTTTAGGGTTTGGGGTTTAGGGTTTAGGGCTTAGGGCTTAGGGTTTAGGGTTTGGGGTTTAGGGTCCAGGGAAAGTTTCCCAACCTGGAAAACTAAGCCCTAAACCCTAAACCGAAAAGCAGTGTAGGGTTTCGGGTTTTGGTTCAGAGTTTAGGGTTTAGGGAACCTAAATCCTAAACCCTAGGGTTTAGGGTTTAGGGCACCTAGAACCCTAAACCCACTGAGACATGCAAAAACCTCGAACATTACGGCCTCAAGGTCCCAAGCACCGAGACTCCAATACCTCCATTGGGGAACAGTCAACCGCAGTAGGCATCCCCTGCACCAGGGTTTAGGGTTTAGGGTTTAGGGTTTAGGGTTTAGGGTTTAGGGTTTAGGGTTTAGGGTTTAGGGTTTAGGGTTTAGGGTTATAAACCCTATAAACCCTATAAACCCTATAAACCCTATAAACCCTGTAAACCCTGTAAACCCTGTAAACACTGTAAACCCTGTAAACCCTATAAACCCTACAAACCCTATAAACCCTGTAAACCCTGTAAACCCTATAAGCCCTATAAACCCTATAAACCCCCTAACCCTAAACCCAAGACTTCCTATTAGAGCCTCTGAAAAAACCCAAGAAGTGTCAAGGATCCGATGCCCCACCTTAGTCATAAGTAGAGGTTGTAAGGATCCTAAATTTAGGTTAGAAGGATCCTAAAATTAGGTTACAAGTCCCTTAACTACAGTTAGTATAGGAAGGGGGCCCCTCCTGTTCAGTCTCCCTAAACCCTAAACCCTAAACCCTAAACCCTAAACCCGCCAGATACAGGCGAGCATCTCAGAATCGCGCCGCAGCTCACTGCACTCACGTCCGGGAAGGCCTGAACAAGACCCTAAGGGTAGGGCTTGGGGTTCAGGGTTTAGGGTTTAGGGTCTAGGGTCTAGGGTCTAGGGTTTAGGGTGTAGGGTTTAGGGTTTAGGGTGACTGAACAGGAACTGCGTGGGATATTTTTTTTACCTACAGTGTTATGGGGTATTATACCTACTTAGTGAAGGGTAGTTGCTACTAAACTGTAGGTAAATAGAATCTCAGGTGGAGCTTCATGCCCACACGCGCAACCCCTGACATGCTCAAACCTAAAGACCGAAACCTCCAAACCGAAGCCTAGATCCTAAACCCTAAGCCCTACCAACCTCCACCCTGAACCCTAAACCCTAAACCCTACACCCTAAACCCCAAATCCCAACCCCTCATCCCCGGGAGGCACAGAGGGAGCGTTCAGAGACCCCTAAGCCTTCTCAAACACTAAACCCTAAACCCTATAAACCTCCACGCGCCCTGGTGCCTCCAACACCTCCTGCAAAAGCAGCGTCAGGTCTTCCACCTGCACCGGGCTGAGGTTTTGGGTTGTTGTAGGGTTTAGGGTACAGTAGAGTCCCTCTCGCTGAGGTACAAGAAAGGGCCGCGAATTTGGATCAACGACATTTGGCTGCTTGCTTAAGTGCCCTTGGGGGCGGTTGAACGTGAAAAATTCGCCCTAAACAACCGTAAATCCTAAACCCTGTTTTATATCCTAAAACCCTAAACATTATGTTCAGGAGCGATCTAGTAGGGTTTAGGGTTTAACGCTTAGCCCTCAACCCTCAAGCCCTCTACCCCATACCCTGTATGGCCAGGAAGTCTCGAACTTTTGGAAATTTGCAACAGCTACCATACGAGGCCTGTGACCTATCCTATTCTGGGGTATCTGACTGTTCGTCACTAAAGCATCCGACTGAAAGGACATCACAGGTTGGGTAGGGGGTTATAGTATGTGAGCCTCTAGGTAGCAAACGTAGTCCAGAAGCTCAAGATCTGGAAGCCTGAGTGAACCACAGTCAACAACAAGACACCCTCAGTCGACCGGGCTGACCCTGAGTCCTGTAGATCTTAAACTGAAATCCCCTCAGCCCACCGAAGCAATAACCCCTAATCCCCCTGCTGAACTGAACTACCAGAAACCCTCAAACCCCCCAAACCTGGACCCTAAACCCTGTGGACCCTTTTTTCTGCGTGTGGACGCCCGCACTTATGGCGAGCAAAGCCCCCCAGCAAAACGATCACTCTGCCAGCGTAAACCCTAGTGTAGGGGATTGGGTTTAGGACTAGGGATTAGGGGTTAGGGTTTAGGGTTTATAGGGTTTAGGGTTTAGGTTTAGGGTTTAGGGTTTAGGGTTTAGG